GCATGCTGTCGGGATGGGTTACACCAACACCTGTGCTGAGATCAGCAGGAGTCCATTACCGCCTGCCACTCGGCCAACACAACCCATTTACAGACACATTTTGGTCAACCGGTGGCCCATCAGAAGCAGAAATAGGAGAAATAGGTCTCTCGTCCGAACACATGCGCCTATCTCCGCCAGACAGGTGTTGTCTGCAAACTTCCAATATAAGGAGTTATCTTTCATCTGAGAAATAAAAATCACTTTCTTGTGTGTTTGAAATAGGCTTTTTTGTCACAGGAGGCAAGGTGACATCTGATGACTGTCAGCGGCAGTAAAAAGATCCACTTTCTTTCTATTCTCAGTGGGCACCTTGATGCCAAAATGACATCAGATTGACATTGATGTCAAAAAAGACATGTCATTCATTCATTTTCTTTTCAGCCTTGCCACTTTATTAACCGGGGGTCTCCACAGCAGAATGAACCGCCAACTTATCCAGCGTATGTTTTATGCAGCAGATGCCCTTCCAACTGCAACCCAGTACTGGGAAACACATACTCTCACATTCACAAAAACATGGCAAAAATGCAATCGATTTGATGTTAAAACCTTGACATCTATTTGACATCCACACATTGATGCCATTTTGACCACGGAATAGTCATACAAAAAGTATTATAATATAATCATCTGACAGCCTTCATTTCAAATGACAAATTTACACTGGGTTTTGTATTATTAAAAAATACCTTGAAGTCAAAACAACATCAAATTGACAATGATGCCAAAAAAAAAAAAAACAGGTCAAAAATGCAAATCAGTTTGAGGTCAAAACCCTGACATCTATTTGACATCCACACATTGATGCCCTTTTAATCACACAAAATATTAGTCATCTGAAAACTTCAATTCATAATTCCAAATTTATACTGGATTTTGTTTTACTTTAAAATACCCTGATGTCCAAATGACATCAAATTGACACTGATGCCGAAAAACCATGTCAAAAAAGCGAATCGATTTTGAGGGTCAAAACTTGGACGTCTATTTGACATCCACACGTTGATGCACTTTTGACCACCAAAATAAAGTTACAAAATGTATTATAATATAATAATCTGAAAGCTTCAATTACAAATTACACATTTACACTGGATTTTGTATCACTACAAAATACCTTGATGTCCAAATGACATCAAATTTACACTTCTATGAAAAAACTTGTCAAAAATGCTAATCAATTGGAGGTCAAAACCTTGACATCTATTTGACATCCACACATTAATGCATTTTTTAACCAACAAAATAACAACACAAAATATATAAAAAATACAATAATCTGAAAGCTTCAATTACAAATTTACACTGGATTTTGTATCACTAGTACATACCCTAATGTCCAAATGACATCAAATTGACAACGATGTGAAAAAACCATGTCAAAAAAGTGAATCGATTTTGAGGGTCAAAACTTTGATGTCTATTTGACATCCACACGTTGATGCACTTTTGACCACCAAAATAAAGACACAAAATGTATTATGATATAATCATCTTTTATTCTAGCCGAAATAAAAAAAAATCTGACTCTCTCCTGAAGAAACAATATTATAGGAAATACTGTGAGAAATTCCTTGCTCCATTAAACATCATTTGGGAAATATTTGATAAAAGATTCACAGGAGGGCTAATAATTTATATATATATATATATATATATATATATATATATATGTAGACATTTATGCCAATAAAAAAACATGTCAAAAATGCAAATCAAAAAATGCAAATCCACACATTGATGTCCTTTTAAAATAAATAAATATATATATATATATATATATATATATATATATATATATATATATTCATAAATTACCATTGAGTAGTAATATAGAGAAATACAGCATTTCTACAGATCTGCAGGGAAAAAGTAACTGTTCATTTGCGAGTAAGTGCTTTAGCGCAGCTGAGAGGGAAACAAGAGGCAAGCGTCTCCGTCACCAGAGTTAAACGCTCCCATTAATAGAAAAAAAAGACCTCCATGTCTGCTGGTATTTACAGAGGTTTGGAGCGAAGGCATTAGTGCTCAAAGCCCCTGTGCCACGACTAACAATCTCTCTCACTGTAAGACGCCCATGTTATCCTTCCGACGTTGTAGTTACGAGGGGAAAAGCTCTTTTTTGTCACCAAATCCTTAATTCTTTCTTCTCTGGGAAAAAAAAGAGGGTAATACAGAAGAATGTTTCTCAATCTGCTTTGAGAGAGCAGGGGAGAGAAAAGGAAACCCCCAATAAAACATGTGTGAACGAAAGGGTAATTGTGGACAAATGCAGCATTGAAATTCATTTTCAACTCTTTACACACCATTTCAATCTTATTTTATGCTTGTTAGCCACATCTTGTTGGTGAGGGTCGGCAAGACTGCCCAGTATTGATGGATAATTGTGTTTAATTCACTCCTTACATGCGATTTGCATCAATACGCATTATTTTTGTAATGCTGGGTATTTATTTCTGGAGAAAGTCACCCTGAATGCTTATTGTCGGGGACACAATGAAAAATACAACTAAAATCACCAATCGTAGTTATGAACATCAAGAGATCCACATAAACAAAGCACCTTGCTTACTAAAATACGTATTCATGCTTTACTCAACATGCAAACAGCTTAAAACTCACACAATCAGCAAGTATTTCTTCTTGAAAGAAAATATTAGAAGTATATTTTGTGAATTCAGCACATACACCACTGCATTTACTTCCTTTTTATAATGTCAGGCCTTTGCATAACGTTATCCAATAGCTACAGAAAATAGTTATTGACATGGCTAAGTATAATGTTTGGTCACGCTTTATTTTGATGATCAGTTTGCTGAATTTAAGTTACATTGCATCTACATGCCAACTTAGTCTCATGAGATTATAAGTAGACTGTTAGGTTGGGGTTAGTGTAAGTTGACATGTACTTGCAAAGTTTCTTATAGTCAGTGAAATGTGTGTTGAAGGAGCAGTATCAGCAGATATTAAGCAGACAGTCTACTAATACTCAAATGGACCATCAAAATAAAGTGTTACCTAATATTCTTTCTCCTCTTTATTTCAGTTACAAATATCAAAACATTTAAGCAAAATGTCTTTTTTATGACAAAAAATATCAAAATGAAGTGATTTTGAGCTTAAATAGGTGCAAATATCCAAAAAGCCAAAATAAAATCTTGACTTCATATCCTAAATTAGTGTTTCTCCTGAAGCAAAAAGTAATTATTTGCAGGACACATTTGATCATCCAATCCATTCCAGATGGATTAAAATCAAACAAAATCTTAACAAAATTAAATAATGTAATAATATAAGATCAAAAATTAAGTAAAATAAATGTTTGTTTTAGTTTTATTTACTTCAATAAAACCATGTGATGCTGATTTATTTTATTATTATTTTAGAAATGACTGTAACAAAAATTTCATCCATAAAGCAAGTGCTCCAAATTTGGGAATTTTTTATGTTAACTTAAATTTTAGGTTTAATTTGGGTGCAATAAAAAAGCCTAATCTGTAAAAAAATAAATTGTGTGTGATTTACAGATGTTTTCTGTGGTGGTGATGAATTCCATTATGGGATGTTGATCTCTGCTCTGATGTTGAAAACTCAATTTTGAAGTCTTTGAAAGTGACTTTTATTGACATTTTAGTAGTCTATAACAATATATTGTGTCTTTTAGCACTTTGAAAAAGTAGCTTTTAAAGGGGCTATACAAAATATTATTATATATATATATATATATATATATATAGAATAAAGTCATACAGCAAAAAAATAAATAAATAAATAACTGAGAGTTTATTACCAGATTTTTGTACAATAATGTACATCTTCTCAGACAATTTGTCACTTCAAACAATAAAAAAAGATCAATAAAAGTCACTTTTTCCCAAGGTTTTAACATCATAAGATCACCTAACACAATTCAAAAGCATAAAAAACAATGGTTGCTAATATTCAGAGTTGGGGAAAGTTACTTTTGAAAGTGAAAGTAGTTGCGCTACTTTTTATGGTAAGTAATGCATTACTTAAGTTGCTTTTTTGCATTACTTTTTATGACCTGGCTTATTCAGAACTTGTTTTTTTTTTCTTTCTTATTAAAATAGAGGAGCTCTTCAACTTAAAGGGAGGGCTTAAATCTAACACCGGTCCAGTCAAATTGGGTATACCCCAAGGATCGATTTTAAGCCCCCTACTTTTTTCCATGTACATTACACCTCTTGGTCATCTCCTGGGATGCCAAGGTTTAAAGTACGCTGATGACACGCAGATTTACATTCGCACCAAATCTGGTGATCTGTCCGCTGTTACACATTTGGAACATTGTTTTTTAGAGATAAAAAATGGATGTCCCAAAATCTTCTGTGCTTGAACACGAAAAAGACAGAGGTTCATCAAGACAGATGTTGATTGGTTCTTCCAATCAACTAAGTAAAACTAAACCTCCAAACATTAACCTAGATGGCTCTGCGGTGGAGGTCCAGGCCAAACTAAAGAACTTAGGGGTAATATTTGACAGAAATTTTTTACATTTAATCACCACATGCTGTCCACTGTAAAGACTTTTCAAAGTCCACAGAGATTTTTTCATTTCAAAAACATTTCACTAATCTGCCTCATGCTGTCTTTTTCTGTGCCAGAAAAACTAATCAATACTTTCATTTTTTACCCGCTTAAACTAGTGCAATGCCTTACTAGCTGGCTTTTCCAAAAGTAACATCAATAAACTACAATATTTTCCAAACTTAATTGTTTTATGTTTAATACACTTAAATTTGTGATACCATTTAAGGTAACTTAACGGATTTGTGTTGGGACAACATGCAGGAATTTGTATAAACCCAGCATTTTTTATAGTGTAGAAGCTGCTGCTAGCTTAATTCTCCAGTGCTCTTGATCTGTGAAGCGTGCTGTTGTTCATTCAGCGTCTTTTCATCATTCTTTCATTGGAAAGAGGCCTCCGCGGCACTAACCTGTGGCGAGAGGCCGTTGCTCACGGGATTCATGTGGTTGCTGGAAGCGGTCGGGCTCATGAAGGTTTCTGAATAGCTGGAGAAGGTGTGGCGGTTGGAGGAGAGGCCGTAGGCGGAGCCGCTGTCAGCCGAGAGCCCGCCCTGATGCATGGAGGAGGGAGGAAGAGGCTGCGGCCGGTGCAACGTACTGCTGCCGTCTGACACACAAACACATACACAAAATACGGCATTTAATATCATGAGCATACACTTAATTTACTGCTAGTTCAAACTACTTATCTAAAATGAGCTGAAACTACACAGTTCTTGAGATTTTTAGGGACAACTTAATTGTTTCATGTTCAATCCACTAGATAACTACTTGTACTACACTGTAAATAAGCAGTTTTTTGTAATTTTGTGTTTCGTGTTTTTATTGTTCTCATTTATTTTGCTTTTGAATTGCATCATGGGACTTTGACCTTTCTTCCGACAGCTTTTATACATGAAAAGTTGGAAAATGAGACTTTTATGAACATTTTTAATAGTTTGCAGTGCCCTATTGTCTGGATTTGGTGTTGTATATTACCCTACAAAAACCTTGTACACCATTTGCTGTTATTTTACAGACTTATTTCTCTATATATTATTTCTTTTTAAAACTTGTAAAATGTCAATAAGTCACTGTTAAACTGTAGAGTTGAACCTTGAACATCTCAAAAATCGACAGAGCAGAGGTCGACATCCCATTATACAATTCAACTGTTAATCGACAGATATTGTTTACAATGTAGAATATACTGTAGTGATGCCATATTGGACTGCACTGTAAAAATAATAAGGCAAAAAGTAATGACAACAATTGTTTTTGTTACTTTATTTTAAAGGGGTGGTTCATTCAAATATGAAGCATTTAATATCATAAGCATGCACTCAATTTACTGCTAGTTCAAACTACTTACCTAAAATGAGTTGAAACAACACAATTCTTGAGATTTTTAGGGATAATTTAATTGTTTCATGTTCAATCCACTAGATTACTACTTGTACTACACTGTAAATAAGCAGTATTTCGAATTTTGTGTTTCGTGTTTTTATTGTTCTCACTTATTTGTGCTTTTAAATTGCATCATGGGACTTGGGATCTTTCTTCCGACAGCTTTTATACATGAAAAGTTGGAAAATTTCACTTTTATGAACAATTTTTAAAGTTTGCAGTGCTCTATTGTCTGGATGTGGTGTTATATATTACTCTACAAAACCTTGTAATACATTTGCTTTTTTACTGACTTATTTCTCTATATAATATTTCTTTTTAAAACTTCTAAAATGTCAATAAGTCACTGTTAAACTGTATATTATATTATATTATATTATATTATATTATATTATATTATATTATATTCCTGCAAAGCAATCATTACTCCAGTCTTCACTGTCAGATGATCCTTCAGAAATCATAACTGATTTTATGATCAAGAAACATTTCTTGTTTTTCAGGATTATTTTATGACTATAAACCCAAAAGAAATATAAAATTCCTTTAAAAAAAATTTGGGAACATTTTCAACAATTATTTAGTCAATTTTGTCCCAGCAAAAAAAGAAAATTGTTTAAAAGTTGATTTGCTACTATAAAAGTTAATTGATTATTAGACATTACCTTGTGAGAGAGTGGTGCTGGGATACGTTGACTCTGGAAGCTGATAGGTGGGTAAAGTTGGCATTCCGGTGGGTGGAAACCCTCCAGGCAACAAGTGGTTGAAAGCTGCCAGCTGATTCGCTCCGGCTTGTTTGCGCCACCTTGCTCTTCTGTTGCTAAACCAGACCTAATAAAAAAATAAGACAATAGAAATAATTAATACATTTGATTTATAAAGCACTTTACATTTTAAGTAAAATCTCAAAGTGCTATAAGAGTAACATGATAAAAATACAGCAAAGAAAGTCTACAGTTAAAGTCAAAATCATTATTATTTTTTGGTTTTAAAATATATCCCAAATGATGTTGAATAGAGCCAGGAATTTTACACAGTATTTCCCATTATAGTTTTTTTTACTTCTGGAGAAAGTTTTATTTGTTTTATTTCAGCTAAAATAAAAGCAGGTTTAAATTTTTTTAAACCATTTTAAAGTCAATAATATTAGCCTCCTTAAGCAATATTTGCTTCTACACTCTCAAAAAAAAAATGGACAATGAGGGTACAATTTTGTTCCTAGAGGGAACAAAATATATAATTGTACCTTTAAAGGTCCCAAATTGGTCCTTAGGGTACAATTTTGTACTCAAATGGGCCATAAAGGTACAAACGTCCAGATTTAGGTTTGAAAGGTACACTTTTGTACCTTTTATAGCACATTTGGGTACAAAATTGTACTCTAAAGGACCATTTTGGTACCTTTAAAGGTACAATTATATATTTTGTTTCCTTAAAGGAACAAAATTGTACCCTCAGTTCATAAGATCAAGACACCATATAACACTAATTTTTAATTAATTAATACTAAACATTAATACTAAAATACATAATTTAAAAATATTAAGTTAAGAAATTCATTGAATAAAATACTTTAATAATTAATTTTTTTCATGTATTCAAATGCAATTTTTTCTCAAAAAATATTTACAATTTAATGTAGAATTACATGTAATTTTAATAATTAAAAATGTAAATACTGGTCTTTGCTTACCGTTTAAGACCCTAAATGGGGTGTAGAATAAGGATCATGCAGTTATGCTGCTGTCTCTTTAAGAATGCACTACTTGCACGCCTACTTCCGCGTTCTATTCAATAGGGCTCACTCAGTTCCGGTTAAGCAATGGCTATGTTCTACTCACAAAATGCATTATAAGGATGTGAAAAGCAGAAAAAAATCTAATCAAATTAAACCTATTTCAGAACCACATTTTTAATGCTGCATGCGAACCAAAATATTTTATTTGTGCATGCAGTCACCAAGGATCAAAATGCCTGGGTCAGTACCCTGAAAATGCTATATAATTTAATAAGGTACATTTTCTTACCTTTCTTGGGGGTACAAAATTGTCCCTTAAATGGTAGAAATGTAGAAGGTACATTTTTGTACCTCTAAACAGAGGTACAAATTGGTACCCTTTAGGGTACCACCCCAGTGACGGCCCATTTGTACCCTAAAAGGTACAATTTTGTATTTTTTTTTCTGAGAGTGTATTGTCTACAGAACAAACCACTGTAACTAACCTAATTAACCTAGTTAAGCCTTTAAATGTCACTTTAAGCTGAATACTAGCATCTTGAAAAATATCTAGTCAAATATTATGTGCTATCATCATGGCAAAGACAAAAGAAAGCAGTTATTAAAACTATTATGTTTAGAAATGTGTTGAAATCTTCTCTCCGTTGAACAGAAAGCAGGGATTAATGTTTGGACTTTAACTCTATGTTAAAATCAGCTACCGCTAAGACTTACACAAACACGCACACACAATAGGAAGAAACTGAAACATTAAGGTATGCATTTAAACCCCTTTTAAAGCCATTATTTGAATAATTAAAGAAATTATGAGAATTGTGCAAAGACCAATATTTCTCTATCCACACAACGCGCAGACAGGTTGACGGGCTTGTGTGTGGCAGCGAGTGCGTCCTCATGGGAAACTGGCTCTTAGCTGACGGCGAGGTCCCTGTTGTTCTAGTTAAGTGGCTAAAGCTGTGATCTGTATAAACAGGCCGCTTTGAGCTGCCATCAGAGACGAGAGGTCATGAACAGGTCAGAGGTAGGCCACACATCTCCTCCACAGACATCTTGAGTATGTTTATCTACCTGTCGGACACTTTCAAGACAGTCTAGCGGACTTTTACTTCAGAAGTGTTGTCTAACAGTGGGATTCTCAACCGGTGGACTACTAGTGGGCTTCAGCGATCTTGCAGGTGGGCTGCAAGATTAAAATGAACTCTTAATATTATACTATTATTTTTGGATCTCATATTAATATGCTGTATTAAAATGATTGAAGTTATGCACTTTCTCCTGTTCTCTGGTTAATTACTTCAAACTCGGCACAGCCTCATGATTGCGTCTGCAACTAGTAAGCGCAGTCTGTTCATTCACAAACTATGCATATACTGAAAGTTTCTCTTTGTGTGTTTTTGTGTGAACTATTTCATATATCCGCATAGTTGTCCAAATGAATGTCCTGTAAGTGTTTTTTAACGGACGTGGGCCCATACAGGAGAATCTAGCAAGGCTCAATGCATAGTGTTTCTGCCATAGAAGACTGAAAAATAAACTTGCATAGCTTCAGACGCGCTCTGACCGAGCAGTTCACTGTTTCTGTCAGCGACCTCCCAATAATATCCAGCTGCAAACTCAACCGCCATCTGATCAACGCGCTTCAACAGATTTAGGGTGTTTTACTGTATTTTACATTTGCCTGTATATTTTTTAATAGTACATATTTAATAGTAGATACTCAGTCAGCCACTTTAAAGCAGAAGATGCTCTTTTGCAATATCCCTGTTGACCTGTGGTTCTCTTTAAACCCCTTTGTTTAAAATAAAATAAAATAAAATAAATACAATCATATAACATAGTTTGTTTTAAATTTAATTAAATTTAAATAAAATTATATTTTTTATAAAATGCTGATAGAAATAATAATATAATATATTCATTTATTCATTTTCTTTCAAATACTATGCAGTTATAAAAAATATTAAAATATTTTATTATTATTATAAATATAAACATGCACACTCTTACAGTTTTTTTTTAATTTAAAAAATGTTGAAAAATAAAAGAATAGTAGAATGCAAAATAAATGTTTTGCTAATAAATAAAGCTTTAAAATAAGCCGCCGAAGCGTCACCGCGTGCACCCCGACAGAAACCAATGCCCAGAACTCCGAAATGCATAGCACCGCGCATATTTTATGTTATTTCATGGAGAGACGCGCACATGAGGCAACGCACTTGCACTTTTCCAGCTGCACCTAGTTAAGATCACAGGGAGCTTCTGTGATGCGACCGGCTGTAGTTTAAGGTAGACGCAATGAAAAGTACACATGCTTGCAAACCTACCAAAAGGTACAAACAATAATTCAAGTTAAAGCGATAATGTGGAGAAAATCGATCTTGTGTTGAGCTCAATGAGCCTTACATCTAAAAATAGAGCAAGGGTGTTCCTTTAGTGACATCGCTTTGATTCACACGCTGAAAATGGCAGACGTGAAACAACAAACTAAAGGTATGTGGTGACAAGCCTGTCCATCAATATTGGTGGGCAGGGGGGACCGCACTCCTACGTCAAGTTGCGGTCGCTCTGAAAACCGCTCCAACTGGTCCATCATTTTTATGTTGTTTAATTGAAAAAAAAAGGACTGTGTGTGTGTATATCACCCCAATATGACAGTTTATATACTATACTTACACACATGTCTGTCCAAACCGATTGAAAAGTAGATTTTTCACCTTACACTGAAAAAAAATATTAAAAGATGATTTCTTGGATTTACTCAATTTTTTACGTTAAGTGGTTGTAAACAATTTATTTAGGCTGAATTTAAACAAACAAATTAAGTTGAACTTAATTTATTTGTTTAAATTCAACACAAATAAATTGTTTACAACAGTTTTGCATGCAACACTTTTTTCAGTGTAGGTGCCCTTTAAGCTGTATGGAAGCGTCTTGAAAAATGTCTAGTCAAATATTATTTACTGTCATCAGGGCAAAGATAAAATAAACCAGTTATTGGAAATGAGTTATTAAAACTATTATGTTCAGAAATGTGCTGAAAAAAATCTTCTCTCTGTAAACAGAAATAAACAGGGGGGCGGATAATTCAGGGGGGCTAATATATCGGACTTCAACTGTGTATTACATGTTGGTGTTTAAAAAGTCGGGCCTACGATACTACTACAAAAGGATAAAGGGTGAAGTGCTTTTTGTTTTTTTCCTAGAACCAAAAAAAAAAAAAAAAAACACAATTTCTGCCTTCTTTTATATTTCAGATGAAAGTTGGAGGGGTTTGCTTATGCATTGGTGCTATAAAAAAAAACAAAAAACAATATTTTAAAGCACCACAAACTCTGAGCATTTACATTACTCCATGATCATGTAAACATGCACATTTAAAGACTGAAAAAACTAAAATTTTTACTTTAATTCCAACCAAAACAAACTTCCATTCAAACCAGGCCGACTTCAGTCCATCAGTCAATCACGTTGTCTAAAAACGAGGACAATTTGCACATTTTAAATGTGCAGATCTCCTCCATCAAAACATGAATATAATTAGCGCCTCTGAAAGCGGCCCGCTCTGTTTCACAGGAACAAGAAGCGGAGCCCTGCGTATGTGAAAGGTTGGAGGACATTGATCTATGCCATGCACTGGCAATTCATCCGCGTTTAATACACTGTCAGTGCAGTTCATCTAGCGTTGTGTTTAAAACGGGCCCGTCCATTGTGCGTCCAGATGAAAGGTGGGGACAAAGGCCTCTCAATACGCCAGGCTGAATAGTGTCCACAAAGAGTGGGCGTCCCTTTTTAAACGTGCCTTTAAGAGCTCCACTTTCATGGTACGCACACAACGACACACTCTATTCTGATGCGACGACACCGCAGACACACTCTACAAAACACACTGGCTCTTTCTTACAAAGCGCTGCTTACATTGTCCAAGTGCAAAACTGTCAGGCCGCTAACAGCTAGCATCTCATTCAGATGACTTCAATGGCTCGCCAACGTTTGATGCAACTAAAGATGACTCTTACCCATCTGTCATGCGTCAGACTCCAATCGCTCTTTCTTACGCCCTCAGAAAGTAAAAAAAACCCCACATGGCCGTCAT